TCATTCAATTGCCTCCGATCAGTAAACAAATTTTCTACACAGTTTTTCTTAAAAATTAATGTATCAGATACTGTATATGCAAGATCTTTGGAAATCTGCTTTGCAGATGAGAAACTTGAAAGCCACTTTATAAACTGGAAAAATCTAATTATCTTGAGCACAGCATAGATTACACAAATAAAAGGTGCTAAAATAAAAACAATTCTTCAATATTGTAACAGTCTGGTACATTTGTGAATGATTTGGATTCTGGAATGCAGTGAGATGTTTGTATGATGTGTTTGTTGTTATAGGTGGACAGTTGGCTTACTGTAACTCTACCAGGAGTTCTAGATGTGGGAGGCCTGCGTGGGAAAGAGAATCCAGTCGACCAACTCTTGATCTTTAATAGTTTTGGTATGTTTTCCTGACAAGCCTGTGATTTGTTGACCCACTGACGGCTCTGTGATGTGGTGGAGATCTGGTCTTAATAGGAATCTTCTGTTTTTTTGTGGTTTTCAAACCCCAGCCAGGATGGCAAGAGAAACTCAAATTTGGTTCAATGCTGCTAAGCGTGAATTCGTTTTTCGTGAGAGTTGAAATTGATCTGCTTTGTGCCACTGTTGAAAGAACTGATCCTAGATCAGTTATTTATTTGAATAAGAGCTTTTGTTCTTTGATGACTCATGGGGGAGCTGATGTGGTTAAATCATTAGGAATCTGCACACTGTTAAACCTGCCCCAGTTATTTTGGTTCAGTAGGTTACCCAAGTATGCATTCAACATGGAGGAAATATTCTTTGACTTAGTCATTTGTAGAGTCAGCAGGCTATGTTAGTCTGTAACTTCTCTTATCCAAATGTGACTCCTCATCAGAGCTTGTTATATTATTAGATCTTAAGAGCTCGTTGTCTCATCTAAGAGTAAGGCACAGGTGTTTTCCGATGTTTGAATAGTCTGTCAAGCACTCTTTCCCTTTCACTAATAATACATGACCGCACACACAACCCCTGCTCTCTTCTTTCTTCTTTGGCTGCCTCGTTCTCTCTCTCTCTGTCTCTCTCTCTCCAAGTAGTCTTCCTCAACCTTCTCTCCTAAATGTTGATTGTCTGATGAGTGTTAATGTGTTGGCCCCCGGGCATTTGTCATGCATTTCAAAACCATCTGACTGTTGTGCACTGTCTAGCTATTATTAGAGACTGGCAAAAACGGCTGCTCTATGCTCCCAGTCAGCGGAAAAAGTGTGTATCTAACTGGTAGAGAGGAGCTGAATGATCCTCAAGACCCAGACTAGAGTCTTCAGGGAGGATCGTTGCTGAACAGCACAGCAATAGTGGCAATTTCATGCTCTTATGAAACAGATTTTTGTAAGAGTTGTTTTGCAAAGTAGTTCATGACATGCTCTTTGTGTGTGTTTCCAGTCTGGTCATTTGATGAAAGGGAATCTCATATGAGATTCTTGGTAGCGTTAATGCTTAGTTGCCCCATGCATGGAAATGCTCCTTCAAACACCCACAGCCTTGATTTTGTGCTTGTACTAACTTGTTTCATAAAAAACGTATTAAAGCCGGAACATACTTTTCTGATTGTGTGTCCACTGTAAAAAATAAGTGTAATTTTAACTGTAAAATGTTGTAAAAACACTACGGAAAAAAAATGTTAATAGGTTAACAGTAAGTTCCCGTACTATATACAGTGAAAAACTGTAAAATATATTACCAGACATTTCATGTAATTTTACAGTAAAATGCTGTTAATTTTACAGTTTTTATAAGTAAAAATAACAAATCAATGTATAATTTAAAGTCAAAAACTGTAAACTGACATTCACAGAATTCCCTGCATGACACTTCACATTTGAAAGTATTTTGTTTAAATAATCAAATAACATAGTTTTTGTTATTAGTTATGTATATTTGGGCTTTATGTTACATCTTCTGTTGTTTAATGAAAGTTTAATGCATTATTTAAGTATCATGTGTGTTACCATGATGTTGTTTTGCAGTCAAAAACTGTAAACTGATATTCCCAGAATTCCCTGCATGACACTCCACATTTGAACGTATTTTGTTTAAATAATCATGTTTTTTTAATAGTTTTTGTTATTAGTTATGTATATTTGGGCTTTATGTTACATCTTCTGTTGTTTAATGAAAGTTTAATGCATTATTTAAGTATCATGTGTGTTACCATGATGTTGTTTTGTGTTTGCATGAATGACTCTGTGCACCTTGTGCTACTTGTGATGAGCTTTGATTCTTCATGTGGCTTTCTCTTTTACCACCTGCATTATTATGGTGGTTGTCAGTATGTTAAAGGTACAAAACAGATTTTAATAGCAGTGTGCATTGTTGCATTTACTGGTTTACATTCAAATTTTCTTGTTTGTAAATTACAGTTTTATACTGTAAAATTTAAATGTGCCGTAAATGTGTTTACAGATTTTCTGTATTTTTTACAAATTTATTCTGGCAACCACAGCTGCCAAAATTATTTTGTAAAAACTACAGAATTTGTTTTACAGCATGTCAGACATTGGAAAATGTATCATATAAAGTTTAATGATATGATGCTCATTTTCTTTTGACCTGGATAAATTAATTTATTAAAAAATGCATACAAATACAAATTATGCATATGATGACTTGCACACACTTCTTGTATGATATGATTGGTTTTCATTTCTAAATTAAGATAAATGTTTATGCAAAAATGTCAGGGTTATACAACTGTCATGAAGAAAAAAAGCATAGAAACACTTTTGTTAGGCAAAACGAATATTGTGTGACCAACAAAAAACAGGAAATGATAATGTGATATCCCGTGTGTGTCAAAGTCAAGAAGTCTCTATAGATAATGTGATGGCAAAGGCTATGTTAGTTGTAAAATGTCATGTGGAAGGAACTTGACGACTACATTTTTAGTTTCTTAACTTTACATTTAGTGTAAATAATAATAGCCTAATATAAAATATTAAATTATATATTGTTTGGGAAAATTAGACTGCAATATGGCTTTTTGTTTTAAACATTGAGGATGGATGGATTTGGTTGCACGTTTAAACTATGAGGAATTTGAATGATCTTCATTCATTTTCTTGGTTAAGAAAACAGCAGGGAATCCCTCCTCCACACAGAAGTGCTGAGAATGCACCTCTGGGTGTAAAATGTTATACAGTATCTAAGCGAAACTGAGGAATCCACAGACAGTAACCTGAAGAGGGTCATGAGTGGGCTGACTGTAGTTGTTTGACAAGCTCCCTCCCTTCTAATTTATTAGAGTAAACATTTTCATTATTTTTATAACGTAAACCATTTATCATTTAATTTCCTTGAAAAAAAAGCTTAAGTATACCATTACACAGCTAAAAACAACCGGATCCAATCTGAATCAAAACAATCTGATCCACAGACAAAATAATAGTAAAGTGTTGTGATTCATTCTTGCTTTAAGCCAGAGATCACTCTCAGAATGCTTCAGATGTGTGTGTGTGTGTGTGTGTGCATTCCGGCAGCATTTCGGTAGTCCTGTTTTCATGAACGTCAAATAAGAAGAAAAAAATTAGAAGAACAACGAGCAACTGTTGGACAGAATGTGCCTTTAATGTACAAATTGTATTAATATTTGCATTAGAGCTCAGTTTAACTCTTTAATTTAGTACAATTAAATATACATAAAAATAACACATTCAAAAATGTATTTTGTACATGAATTGCATATTAAAAATATTTTCCTATCACAGAAACAACTCTTAAATTACCACCGACGTCTAAAGTCAATTGATTTTTAAATGTCTTTTCAGTGCAGAATGTGCCTTTAATGTACAAATTGTATTAATATTTGCATTAGAGCTCAGTTTAACTCTTTAATTTAGTACAATTAAATATACATAAAAATAACACATTCAAAAATGTATTTTGTACATGAATTGCATATTAAAAATATTTTCCTATCACAGAAACAACTCATACTTAAATTACCACCGACGTCTAAAGTCAATTGATTTTTAAATGTCTTTTCAGTAATTTACTCTTCACTGGGGGCTTGTCTTAGCAAATGTTTATATATAATGAATTGTATTAATAATTAAGTATATCATGTAATTATTTCTATTAGTATTTTTTATTGACTGACAACCCAAGTTTGAATATTAGTAGTAGATTTGATCACTGTATTTTTTGGAAAATTAAAATAACATTTTATATGTATGTTTTTGCTGTTCTCTCAAATAAACAGTGAGCACAGTTAGTGCTGTCTGTATTTTCTCACTGTACTCAGTGAAGCACACATACACATAATCATGTGCGTCTGCTGCTGCCAGCCTTGAGAGGAGAGGAGAGGATCCGGCAGCCTTCTACACTTCCCTGTTACTGAAGCAGACAGAGTTTGGGGTGGCCCTCCACCTTCTAAAAATATATTAACTTAATTCTTTACAGATTCATCTGAGAGCCCGAACACACATGGCGTTTTCACAGTCATTAGAATTCATCACCATCTTTGTCTGCTGTTTGGGGAACTACATTTTTAAGCTCTGAGAACTCAGCACTGATCAAGTACAGTCTGCACTGTGTGATTAAACACAGGAGCTGTAAAGATGAATTTGTATGTCCCAGGTCATAACTTCCTTTGTGGTTGAATTAACATTTAAATCCACCAAGTTCCTGCTCAGCTTTATTTTTGTGTGCAGTTATAGATCAAATATGAGGATGGAAACTACGTGAAGGATGAGGATAGGAACCTTTTACCTTCACTCAATTACAAATCCAAGTCAAAATATTTATCTTTCTGCATTCTAGAAAAACAGTGGTTTCGTTGTTATCTGGAAGTAAAGAAATAAATGACATTAATTACATCTTCAATTAAATTTTACATGGTTTCACAGAATTTAGTCATAGAACAGTCATTTATCATAAATAGATCTGACATTGATACTGTTTTTATGAACTTTACTTTTATGAACTTTTTAGCTTTATTTACATACAGTGTAAATTGAATATTTCATTATTATATAAAAGGCCAGAACCACTTGAATATTGTTAATATTACTCTGAATGAACAGTCCGTTCATCGTAGTTTCACTGCTATCTGATAAGAGATTTTGCCTCAGGCTTCATGTCATGTGCATGCCCTCTTTGGGACAGAAGATGTGTGCAGAACACACACACGCACAGCGTCTGAGATTGTTAGCTAGTTGAAAGCAATGCTAACAACTGAGTAAACAAATTATGCAGCCACCATCACACAAGAAAATGTTAAAGATGTAAAAATAGCTTCCTTTTGATCAACTCGCGTCACAGTATACAAAGAATATATTGTAACGTCTGGTTTAATGCTTAAGTTCATAGACTACTCTTCAAACCAGGCCCTAGTTTGTTCATTACTTTTTTTTTTTTCTTTTTTCAAAGTTACTCCTTTGGGTGTCGTAGTCTTTGGCGCACATATGGGTGTGCTGGAGGAGAGAGTGGGAGAGGCATTACATGTATTTAAAAAAAAATAAAAAATTCCTTTAAATTAATGCGTGCCTGTGTGTGACTGGTCTAAATGAGTGGGTGAAGGGGTTATGGGTCAAGGATTCTTAGCTTTCAGGAAAACTTCCACTTACCTCACAGGAACAATCAATCCTCACCCACGCAAATCTCAACAAATCTTTATGGTCTTGACTGTGAAATTAAAACTAAGCATAACAGGCCTACTAAAGACCTGCATATTCGAATAGCAAAATTCTTTCATTTTGTATAGAAATAAATGTCTGCAGGTTTGAATAACAGTTTATATTGCAAATTGTCTTGTTTTGGTTCATTTACATCAGTTTCTCCAAGAAATCACAATAGAGTTTAGTGGAGGTTCGCCTCATGCAGCTCTGCGGCGGTGGCCATAATTCAGTACTGTTGACTTTTTGTAGGTTCACTGCATGGGCTTGCCATGGTAAACTCACTCTTTGCTTCCCAAGTTGGTTATTCTGGCACAGAACACTCACACCTTAGATGGGGGCCCCATCTGTTCTGCACACAGACAGCATATCAAAATATAACGGTTACAGAACACAGATAACACATACAATGTCAGACAGGTCCCTCCAGAAATTGAATCAGGTCTTCCATGAGTGCTCTCATTTCATATCAAATTTAAATTGTGTGCTTATGTGATAAGATATTATGGTTTTTATATAACACCTACTGTATGCAGATCGGCAAGATTCTTTGGTATGCAATATGTCTAATTATGGCATATTATTATTTTTTTAATTTCAGAAATTTTAGAGCCTTTTTTTTTTGGTAAATGTTTGGAAATTAGGTACTACAGTGGAATAGTGTTTCTTAAATAGACTACTGTTTCAAGTATAAATGTCTCCCTCTAATTGAATTCATGGTATTTTAAGAATTAAAAGTAAATTATTCAAGTTTAAAAAAGTAATGTTAATTTATTTTTCAATATATTTCAAAAAGCCTGCCATCCTCTCTGCTGACTCAATGTTGCCTCTTTTTTTTTTACAGAACACAAGGCTTATGCAAAGATAGAATTATCATGTATAATTAGTACAAACATTTCCATTTCCATAACTAATTAAATACATGCTATAATATAACTGATTGCAAAAAAATCTTCAATGAGGTAATAAATTACTGCAGTTATTGTGTTACAGGGATGCCATGTGGCAACAGTCACATAGTCTCAGTTTTCAGTAAACAATGTTAGACAACTATTAAATAAATACTTATCAAAAATAATTAGAATAAATATATTTAATTACGCAATTTGAGGAGTGCTTCAGTGTGTGTATTTCCTCTATGCGTAGCCTGGTAAGTTCCAGCAATGCAATTTGAGGCACTTCTTCTCTGAATAAGGAGAGAAAATCAGAAAAGAAAAATCACGTTGTTATACAATACACAGAACCATTTATATTAATTTATTATATAATATATTATATATATAATGATATAATATATTGTTATACATAATATTACATGATAATTGAAAATTCATTAAAAAAAACAAAAATGTATGAATTGTCTAGATCCAGCTGTCCATTAGGAGCCTCTCCAGGGTACCACTGCAAGCTTCCTGATGAAACCCCTGCCTCCATCAAGTAATTCATCCACATATCAGCGATATTAAACATAAGTGAATTGCTCTCCTGTAGAATAAGCTTTTCAGGATACAGGTTAAGCCTGATTTCATCATACAGAAAGCCGTGGCAATTAACCACATATCACTGTGCATATCCAGCCAAAAACCTACTACCAGATTTTCAGTACCATCAAACTTCCATTCGAGAAGGAAGAAAACAGAACCTGACTTTGTTGGGTTTAAAGCCTTTAACAGCATATAATGGATAACAGCAATCCCAAAAAAAAGATGGAAAACATTTGAGCTTTCATTTTGAATTTTCTTATGCATATACTCTATACAATAACCCTCATGCTGAACATGAATCATAAATATATAATCATGCCAATTCAAAAAGTTGCATTTGCCAAGAGCCAAGAGCCAAGACTGGGATTTCAGTGAGTTGTTTATTTAACCTTTCCTCCTCCCTTTCATTCAGTCATATTGAGAAACGCTACGACCTGTTGGTAGCACACATCCATATTAGTTCTTAATGTCCTAAATTGTTTCATGCTGTTTAAATAGAGTTTACTGATGCATAAATACCAATGACACTAAATCATGTTTAAAATGAAAGAGAATGCACATTTTATTAATATATACAATACCTTCCCACCCTTTCCAATGATACAACTAGCATTGACCTCTTATTTGCTCTGGAGGTTGTTCAACTATGCGTTTTCCAACTTTTATATTGGAAGGTGGCTGCAGAAATCAGGTCGGGTAAGTTTAGCCTGGAGGGGACCAAGGAGTGTTGGGGGTGGGGGTGGTTGCTGCTGCCTTTCTACATTTTGTTTGCACATTGCCTTTCGGTTGTTGTATGTGGACCAGCTTTTTTTGGATCCCACACCCACATGACTGTGGAACCCAAGGAGATGTTTGGAGTTGACACTTGTTAATAGGGTGTGTCCTATTCCAGTGGTGACTCATCAACCTCCCTGAGATTCACCTGTATACTGAATGTGTGCTTTTACCTTTACAAATGTGAGAACAGAAACACGTTTTTTAATCAGGGCTACTTGCATTTCTGCTTGGCAGATGACTGCATATTATAAACATACACTACCAGTAATCACTAAGTTTTTTTAATGTTTTTGAAGGAGGTCTCTTATGCTCAACAAGACTGCATTTATGTGATCAAGCATGTAATATGTGGTTTCTGAATGACCATCTGACACTGAATACTGGAGAAATGGTTTCTGAAAATTCAGCTTTTACATCATATAAATTAAAATTTAAAATAGAAAACATTTATTTTTAAATTGTAATAATATTTAACAGTTTTACTGTTTATTCACTATTTTCGGTCAAATAAATGCTGCCTTGGTGAGCATAAGAGACTTTTTTCAAAAATATGAAAACTAAAGACTTATTCCAAACTTTTGACTGGTAGTGTATATATATCTATATATACACACACAGTAGCCCTTAAACATGTATAAATGTCTTTGCCTTTTATCATCGCAATATCAAACCAAGTGTAGGGCTAATTACAAAATACAGATCAACCATACGTTTCCGCATGCAGCATATGGAGGAAACAAGGCTTGTCCAAATCCAATGATTGTGTCACATCCTTCACTGTCTGTAATACCTCACTATCCTGGGCACACTTGTGACAGCTGAGCTAAAAAAAATAAATAAAATGGCGTCTGAAAGTAAAAAAGCGGTATTTGTAAATGTATGTTTCTGACTTTGTCAACTTTTGATTTCATTTGTAGCAAGAAATTAATATTGTGGTAATCAAGTATTGGCTTACTTCTCACCAAAGCTCTCTCAGTTTTGTTGTAGATCATTGGACCATTATGCTGCATCAGAAGCCTGTCCAAAATCAGTTTCATTACGCACCTTCGCACACAAACACCGCCTACAAAGTCATTGCCTGATAGGGCAGAGAGGCAACAAGTCAAGATTTTGGATGCAGCCAATAATAACTCAGTTGCTTAACAGACATTGCAAAAACAGTGAAAATGGTTCAAAGAAAAGGTCAAGTAATTTTGTAATAAATTCACTTATGGTCAAATAATTTTTGGGAACACTATACGTGTGTTTCGGGGGCCTTGCTCTGGAGTACATAGATAGTATATAAAAACATTGGTCTTATCCAAAGATGTTCAAAAGTTATGTTTTTTCCCCCCCCAGCAGCTCTCGAGGATCATTGTGCACTGCAATTTGCTGTCCCTGTGGACGAGGTTGTTGTTGGAGACAGACAGAGTGGGCAGTCTTCACTTACCTCAAACAGAGTCATGAACAGGCAGGCGGCAGCGAGGAGGAAGAGAGAACCTCGATCCTGTGATAGCCATATGAGATTCCACATGCTCTGATGAGTCATTTCTCCCTCCCTCCCTTCCTCATCCCCCACTCCCTCCCTCCCTCCCTCCTGGGCAGTCTTCACTTACCTCAGACAGAGTCATGAACAGGCAGGCAGCAGCGAAGAGGAAGAGAGAACCTCGATCCTGTGATAGCCATATGAGATTCCACATGCTCTGATGAGTCATTTCCCCCTCCCTCCCTTCCTCATCCTCCACTCCATCCCTCCCTCCCTCCCGACATATGAAGCGTATGAGCCTGAGTCATCAGCTAGCTTTCTTTCTCTTGCTCCAACCATGCTGCCTTGTCTCTTTTCTTTCTTACTTCTTTCACTATTTCTGTTTCCGTTACGCTGCCGCCACTTTCTACCTGTCATTCACATTCTTTCTCTGCCTGTGTGAAACTAATAGCAGGAGAACAATCGGATAGAAATTAACATACATTCTGAGCAACGGCAATGGTATTCATCCATTCACATCAAAAATTCCCCTCACTGCTTGCCTGGGAGACAACGGATGGCCCTATGCCAAGATGTCAAAATGCGCAGTGAATGAGAGAAGCAGATATATTTGACATAAGAGTTACTGATTTGAATGCGCAAACAGATCTCAAGCACTGGGAACTGGATTTTACTGCATAAGAACACGTTTAGTACCTGAAATATAACCACCTCAGATTCTGTAAACACTCTTCTCTAAAGGATGATGTCTATAAGGAAAGCACATTTTGGGGCTAATCACTATATTACAGGTCCTGTGGGAGCTGTTATGTTAGGACTGATTTAAGAGCCGTTAATAGCTGAGCATTGCAAGAGCAATAAGGATTTTTAGGGGCATTATGACTGGGTCAGTATAACACAGCTGCCCCTAAAAGTCCCTCACTTTTCTTGCTGACTTATTCACAGTTTCTTTGTCCGGCATCTGCCTGCTGTTCAAGAAATGTTTAAGGTTTATAACATGGCTCTAAAGACTCAAACTAAAGCCCAAAGTAAAGGTCAGTCTGGACTATAATATCCCTCCTCTCCCTGAACAAGGGCCAACCATAATGTCAGACCCTTATTATTAGAATGCATTAAATGGCTAAACTATTTTAAATGACAAACTGTGTTTTTTAACAGAACACAAACCGGTTTTCAGTGGTTTACAGCAACTGTCATTTACAAATTACAACACCTCTTGATCATTCAGGCAGCTTTTTCACAGTACATAACTTTGTGTGCCCTGCTTGTTACAATCAAATTATGCAAATAAAATATTATAATATTAATAGAAGTCAAAGCAGAAGTCAAAACTTTATGCAAACTCCTGAGAAACGGCCTGGTAAAACGATAAAACGACTTGCTAATCATTGGTAAATGTGAAAATAAGTAAATATGAAATTGAAAGATTAAGTTTTTGTGAAATAATTGGTAAAACCAATGTATGTTTTAACCTGTATATTATGAATATATTATGGGTATTTTTAAATGCATGCTTTTAATTCCTATATTAGGTGCTAAGTTAAAATATAGCAAATTAGATATTTTATGGTATCTGAACAGGAACTCATCTTGAAACATCTAATGAAATAACTTTTAAATATACAATTCATTATAATTCCTTGCTTTGCATGTGCTGCATTGGAAGAGGTTAGTTTACAATGATTACAGGCTTTTGCAACTGTCAAGATGTGTGACTTAGCCAGAACAATATACAAATCCTTTGGGAAACTATTGGCAGGCAGCTTTGAGAACTGCTTAATATGACAAATTATGTAAAAATATGTATCAGACATGCTTGGTAACTATCCCAGAATTTATACACACACTAACAAAGCTAACCTGCCTCTGCCACTCCCTATACAGTAAAATCTTTAATGAGAACTGACATACTTTTCATTTCACAGAAACTAATGAAGTTTACATTTTTGCTTTTTGACATCTTTTTGATATCTTGTTGTCCTTGAACTCATAATCTTACTTTCAGGCACTCAAAACCAGACTTTTATTTTGTGTTCGAGTCTATTAATTTAAACATCTTTACTTTACTCTTTGTGTGACAAAAAGGTGCTGTTCTTGTAAGTTATTTTTAGTAAAGAAAAAGGCCTAAATTCCTAAATTCCAATTTGTTTGTATTTGTATATGTTCTAGCCTATGTTTTGATTGCAAGTATATATCTGACATACCACTTCAATATTCACAAATAGTTCTAATAAAAAATAAATAAAAATAAAATAACAAAAGTAAAAATATTAAATAATACAACACCTATGTTTTATAATGAAAAACAACTACTCATAACTAAATTCTTAACAAAAGTGTATCATATATTTAATTTGAACATTCATAATAAAATTATGCAAGTTCACAAAATAATTGGCTGATACAAGCCTAAACCAGTAATACTCTTTTGTATCAAATAATCTTTTGTATCAATCATTTTTCTTTTTTCTCTTTCTTTCTTTCTTTTAACTACACACAACTTTTTGTTAAAGTTAACAGATACTGTAAAATACTTATGATGACTAAAGATAATTTCAGATTTTTCATCCTATATGTATTTAATTATATTAGTTTAATTAGGCTGTAGTAATATGTAGTACTTAAGAATACATAGCCTACATCACATTTTTTTAATATATCAAATATTTTAAGTACATACATAATTCTGCATTTAAATCATCAATAAAAAATGAAAGGTTTAAGAAAGTGTGAAGAACGGAAATTAAACATTTTTATGTTATCGATGATCCCATTATCAAAGAATAGAACAGAATCTTTAACTATTCTATTCTGTTGTGTTCTATTTCAGCACTTTATTATTATCAATACTAGATATAAACTCCACTATAGACACACACACACGGTCAATTGACAGAGATGGTCACATGGGCCGAAAACTGGGACTTTGTAGGCCAGTTGAATAAAAGGAAAACTCACCTTGCCCGCAAAGACCCAGCCTCTGACACACTCTCAGTTGTTGCTGAATTTTGCTTCAGGTTGCGTGATCGTGCGTTAAAACTATGTTAGTCTGCGTTCATCTAAGACATTTGCAATAGACCATCGGCATATCTCGGAAACGCGATCATCCCAGCGCCCATGACATGAGAAATAACGACACGAGCGCGCGAGCCTCTCCAACCGCCAGGGTCCCACTTTTTACCTGTCATTTTCACCATGTCCACCACCAGCCTTCCTCCTTGGAGATTCTTTAGAAAGAAAGGGCATATCGCCTGAAGAAGAACCGAAAATGTTGCCGTGCAGTGAGAAGTTGCTGCCACTCTTCACACATTATCATCACCCGCCCCCTTATTTGCGCTCAACTCCTCATGAAGACACAGTATATCCACAGGGACCGCTTACAACACTCTCCCTTTGCGCAAAAGTGGACGAAGGGAAAAAGTCAATAGCACGCGGTGGAACAGTGAGCCTCGTTAATGCGCAAGCCTTTTGAAATTCTCCATGTATGCTGTTTTAGCCAGAGCGACCCCATGTGCTCGTTATTAATGAATTATCCATCTGGCTGCTGTAGACATATCATATTTTTACATGTTGCGCTGAAGCGCCACCGACTGGTTCCTTTGACCACATGCGGAATAAATTGTGTCTGGGACCAGAATCAGAAAAGCCTACTATGGCGAAGGCTTAGCTTATGAATATTAATTAAACCAGGCTGACGTTGCTTAGTAACCATTCAGGAGTGTCCATTCACGTAGGCTACCCTAATTCATTTTTAATCTTTGGTTACTCTTTAGTTAAACCGGTTGCTGGTTTGACCTACTGGGTAGACGTCACTCAAACTAATTAATATTCATAAGCCAATATTCGTCGTAGTAGGATGTGTATATCCGCGCCCGGGACCTCCCAAAATTGGATCGTTGTGTGACTGCATAGCCTGACTATTTCAAGATCCTCTGTAGAACCGATGAGAAATGCACTGGACCTGTCATAATAAATCAAGTCCTTTATGTGCTATCAAAAACCTTACTGATTTAGTGGCATTTTATAAAAATAAAGAAATTGATTAACTATATATTAACAAATTTTTTAGTGCCTTTACTTAATATATAATTAGACAAATCCATTATTATTACATTTATGTCGCCTGTTAAGTCTGTTAAGTGTTTAAACTTAATGTCTGTGTAACACCGTTTAAAAATGGTGTTACATTTATTTCTGGTTTTTATAGGCCTCTTGAAAACTGAAATTATCCTATCATTAGGCAACAGACTGTAAATGTATGCTTTTTTCTTCAATTATTTGGGATTCCCATTTTAAAGGCTCTCGTTGCAGTGTGGAGCGGCCCCCTGTGGTTACACATTAATATACCATTCGTAAACACTGGTATTAATTTCCATTTTCCACGACTGTAGTTGCATAGGTACATATTACGGGCCTATATATAACAAGTAAAATAAAAAGAACATACAATCATTTATACAAAAACATTTTAAAAGCAAATTTAAATACCAATATTGTGTTTGTAAAGATGTTTTTTTTCCGTGTTCTCTGATGTTTATGTTTTTCCCAGATTATATTGAAAGAGATTTGTCGTTTTGTTTACAAGATTTAATTCATTGAAATTGCTTCTCAATGGAAGACACGCCCTTTATAATGCCGTCATCACGGCAGCCGCCTCGGGCTCGAGGCAGAGGGTAGAGGATTTCTCTCGTTCGGCCCGTATGTTTACACTAAATATTCAACTGTACGAATGACCATCCACATTGCATTCGTTATTCAGCTAACATCGGCGATCCTCTGGTGAGTCTCCATCATTGTTCATCACGCTGTTTGTGCGAGCAGGGATGTCAGCTGATGATTGTTTTCATCTCTCTCACATCATTCTCTAAATGCTGTTATCTTACTTCTTTCGGAAACTGTCTGATACTAACCCAGTCACACACACATAGTGCATTTTAATCAGCACAGATGACGCTTTTAGCCATAAGGAGATATATGATGGGCCTAGTGAACTGAGCAGTAATGGCCTGTAAATCAGTGCAAAGTTGTTATACAGCTCCTCGTGGCCTTTAAAATTGATGATTGAGTCGGAAGTGGTACAAGCTTTTGAATTGTGCTCCAATGTCGCACTGTTGCTGTTGTTGTGTCATGCCATGCTTATATTACACATGTAAACATGAGGGCTGTGAGTTGTATCTGGGCTCGTTCAGTCAGGTGGGCAGACTTGACCGGTCAATGCAGTAACAAAAAACATCACTTATTACAAGCAAATACGTTAATATAAAACAGCACATCTCTTTTAGTTTGTATGAAAGCCCTAGACGAGCTTCCTGTGAGTAATTCTTCATACTAACGCATGCATTGTTTTGATTATTTTCCATTTTTAATAATAAAGGTATTACTGTAGGCACCACGGGATAGTGAAGATTCTGCGTGTTGTGTGTTCCATAATAGAAACTACATATTGCGCAATTATGCAAATATGTCATTGTTCCACACCTGTATGACTTGTTTTCTTTTGTGGAGCACAAAAGAAGATATTTTAAAGAATGTTGGAAACCAAAAAGGTTGGTGGCCATTGACTTACAATGTATGGACATAATAATAACAACAACATGAATGAATACATACATATATACTGAGACATTTCTTTCTTCTATATCTTTCTGTGTTCTGCAGAAGAAAGAAAATAGTTCGGAAAAAGTTGACGTGATTAAATGATAACAGAAATTTCATTTTTGGAGAACTATCCCTTTAACATGCTGAAGAATTAGTTGTAGAACCAAACAAGATATTACAATAAAAAAATATTACAATAGATGATGACAGGTGCATCTCAATAAATTAGAATGTCGTGGAAAAGTTCATTTATTTCAGTAATTCAACTCAAATTGTGAAGTGAGTTGAATTACTGAAATAAATGAACTTTTCCACAACATTCTAATTTATTGAGATGCACCTGTATATGTGACCCTGGACCACAAAACCAGTCATAAGGATACTTTTTTTTTTTTTTTTTTTTTTAAAGTCTGAATAAATAAGCTTTCCATTTATGTATGGTTTGTTAGGATAGGACAATATTTGGCTGAGATACAACTATTTGAAAATCTGGAATCTGAGGGTGCAAATTTTTAAAAAAAAATCTAAATATTGAGAAAATTGCCTTTAAAGCTGTCCAAATGAAGTTCTTAGCAATGCATATTACTAATCAAAAAATTACGTTTTGATATATCTACGGTAGGAAATTTACAAAATATCTTCATGGAACATGATCTTTACTTAATATCCTAATGATTTTTGGCATAAAAGAAACGTAGATAATTTTGATCCGCACAATGTATTTTTTGTATGGCTGTTGCTACAAATATACCCGTGCGACTTATGACTGGTTTTGTGGTCCAGGGTCACATATGTATGGACATTGTATATATAAGTATGTACATTATTCCCAGACAGTGTTACTATAGTTTGAGGGCATATTTTAATTTTACCATGCCCACAGGTGTTTTTCTAAACAGTTTTTTTGTTTGTTTTAAAGGTCATGTTGGTCAAGCTTATACTGTCTTCTGTCAATACTACTTGCTCCTCAGGCTTTCAGAATGCTGTACCAATTCTACTCTCTATTCTCTGTCCCATAGTGGGGGTGGGGTGAGTGAGGGCTGCTGTGAGGATCCCACACTGTGGGGCAGCCACACACTGAATGGTGTCTCCCACAATGAAGGCACTGGTGGATGCAGTCTGGGCAGTGTGGAGTATCGGGGCCTCAATCTATGACTACATCCACACCAGTGCCATGGAAGAGCGCATTCACTCACTGGAGAGTGCTGTAACCATCCACCAGTGTGTCATTGGCCTGCTCTCTGCTGGACTTGTGGCCCTCTTCACCTACATTCTGTTAAGGAAGCACTGACCCAGGATTTCAGCCTTTTTTTTTTGTATGCAAGACTACATCGGTGACATCAGAGGGAATTCTGGAACCATGTTGATGCCAAGCTTTGTTCAGTTCATTTTAAAGGGATTTTAACATGTCTGACTTTTACCTAATTGATTATTTACTAAACTTTATTAGTTTGTAATTCTGTTAAAATTTCACTACTGTATTATCTGGGTTGATGTGATTCAGAGTAATCTGGTAAACCAAAATAAGCGTATCTCTACATTTAAAGTAGTCTTCCACCATGTCTTATAATGGACTTTTAAGGTCATTGATGGCTACCACAGAGGAAAGATTCAGAGATGCTACCTGTCCACGGTTCTTTACACAAAGCTTGGTGACAGCTGAACAAACACAAAACAACTACTAGATCAGCAGGCTTTTCAGCCTGTTTGCTGCTATCATCAGTGGAGTCGGCTTGTGTGTCTTGGTTACTTTTGACAAAACATTCAACTTGGCAATGACTAAGCATAATGTAATTTATTTATGTTAACCTATGACATCTCAGCTTATTTCTTAACATTATGGTTAATGAGAGGCATCAATGACTTGATTAAATTCTTGATTTTACAACTTGTTAGAGAACTTAAAGTGGCCTTAATCACTAAAGGTATCTGGTGTAGTCAACTTGATAATGTTATCAGTGAATTAACTACTATATGTAGGTGGGTTTTAAATTTGGTTTCATGTTAAAGTTCATCGGTTAATGCACCATTGTGTTTTATAGGTTATAATTTTTACGTTTACCATGTTTCCTCAGAAACGTTTTTTCCTGGGGCAAAAAAACTACCATTAAAATGTTACACCTGTTCTGTCAGCAAAACGAATGTCTATCTTTATGATGCAAAAGAAAAGAGAGTATTTTGACTTTGAATTGATGCTATGCTACCTACTAAAGCATTTCTCTATTGTACTACGTTTGAATTGAACTTTTGTTTTATTTGGTGTGCTGTTCTAAGTGAGGATCTCTTAAAATTCAATGTAAAGCATTTCTTTAACAAAGACAATGTCATAATAAAATGTTTATTACTGGAACAACAGAACAGTGCAAATGTTTACGCACCAGCATGTTTGAAAAACTTCAGAAGGATCGGGAAATTGGGCTTTTCAAAGCGAAATCACTGAAGCCAGTTTGTGGTCCAAATATGAACAATACAGAAAACACATTGAAGATTCATACTGGTTTTACATGTGCCCAGTCTGCAGAAGTGTGTACTTCGTGGTAAAGTGCTCAACACTTTCGCCCTCCAGGGTCTTAACAGCCCTCCAGTGGAGCTTCTCACAGTCCTCTGGGTTTCCGTGGCTTCCCAGCTCTTCCTTGATGTATTCCATCCAGAGATCTAAGACATTAAATTATTGACAAAATCAGAGAAATATACTAAAAGTATGAAAGAGAGTTGCCTCTTTAAAGGCTAAAAGCACTGAATCACACTCACCTTCATCTGAAGAACCGAATTCACAAAGCGCTTGCTCATAGTAGTCTCTCAGGTTACTCATCTTTGGTGTCTCCTGAGAGAATAATACAAATCAGTAACACACTACGTATGACATATACACATGTCTGCTGGTTACTAAATATTTTAGACACCCATC